ATCCCCACCAAGCCCCTCCCCCCCCGTCCCTTCTCCCCAGAGTGTCCCTCCCGGAGATCTGCTCTGCCACTCACACCCGAGTCTGCATTGCATACAGCAGGGCCGCGGCCCCATCCCGGGACGCCGAGGCTGGGCTGGGAGCGAAGATGCTGGGCTGGGGCTGGGAATCGGGAGATGGGTGCCGCCCACCGGCCGTGTTTATAGCAGGGCCAGTGCCGCTGCCTCGCCCCCAGCGCTGCCGGATACACCCCCAGATGATGGAGGGGCTCCCCCGTTTCCTTGCACGGCTCTTTCTTGGGTGGGGCCGACGCTCGCTCCATCTGGCCCAGCCTCTCGTCTCCAGCATGGGGAAGGGAGAAAACAAAACCCACCCCACATGCTTCCCCCGCCTGTCACCTCGTCTCCTCCTAGGCACGGACAGGCCCCCTGAACCCTGCTCCTTCGCACTCCTCGTGGGGGCAGGCGTGCCCAGGTCACAGAGACAGAGTTTCAGTCCATGTTTGGGCAGCGCCCAGCACGACGGGGCCCTGATCTCGGGAGGGGTCTGGGCAGCGCCTGGCGTGACAGGGCCATGATCTCAGGAGGGGTCTGGGCAGCGCCCGGCACGACGGGGCCCTGATCTCGGGAAGGGTCTGGGCAGCGCCCGGCACGACGGGGCCCTGATCTCAGGAGGGGTCTGGGCAGCTCCGGGCACCATGGGGGCCCTGATCTCGGGAGGGTTCTGGGCAGGGCCTGGCACCACGGGGGCCCGGATCTTAGTCAAGGTTTCTAGGTGCTGCTGTAATTGAACAAAGAACAGCTACAGGGACTGAGCGTGGGGAAGGATGAAAAGCCCTGACTGGTTCGGGGCCAGGAGGAGGACGGGGGCGAAGGCCCAGGAGGAGAAGGCGGGCGGGAGAGTCAGAGGCTGCCGCTGGGATCTCTGGGCTGAAAGGAAGACGCCCAAGGGCTGCACCGAGCGGTTGCGCTCGGTGCAGCCCATGGGAGCGGTGTTAACCCGGCATGTCTGTGTGTGGCCCCTGCTCACGCTGACGGGTTCCCTCCTGCCCCCTTGTGCCCCCAGACGTCGCAGGGAGTCCAGGTGAGGCGCTTCAAGACCCTGAACGAGCTGATCGCACTCTACCTGCAGTCCAACCAGGGCCTGGTCTGCACCCTGCTCTTCGCCGTCGAGCGGGAGAAGGAGAATGCCGAGGACAGAGACTACTCGGGTACGTCCTGGCAGTCGGCCCCCGGCCTCGCCGGCTGGGCTGGGCCTGCCCTGGGAGCCAGGGTCAGGGGGAGAGCTGGCGTGGTAGGAGGTGGGATACCAGGGTAGATGGGCCCACTGCTGTGAGCCAGGGTCTCTGGAGGCAGAATATTAGGGTAGCTGGGCCTGTTGGTCCAATACAGGGGGCAGGGTGACATTGGATGGTCCTGCTGCCTCCCCTCGCACTCACAGCCCATCTCACCCCTCCTCCCGCTCCCCTTCACACCATGCCGAGATTAGAGGCAGGTCTGCCTGCTGCTGCTCCTGCCAGGCCGCATGGGGCCTGTGGCCCTGGGCTCCCCAGTGGGGCTGGGACCCCAGCAGTTGACCAGCTCGAGATGTGGTTGTCTGGAGCGGCTCACGGCCGTGAGTGCCGACCAAGGGCAGAGCCCCCGAACCGGCCGTGTGGTCAGTAATTCGCTGTCACCGAGCCAGCACCAAATGTGAGCTGGATCGCGGTCACAGCCAGTGCCCTGGGCTGCTCCCGGCTGTCCCGCCCCCAGGCACGCTGGCCTCAGGGAGAGCTGGGTCCCGTACACCAACGATGGCAAAATATTCGGGTGGCTCCCGTCCCAAGAGACGAGCCGCGTCCCCCGAGGCAGCCGGTCCCTCGGCACTCACACCAAACACAATCCTATGGCAAACTGGCTGCGGATTTATTCGCTGGGAAGGAGAAAGGAGAGTTCGTTCCAGGTTAAAGCAGGCGACACTGGCTCCAGAAGGTGGCCGAGCGGTAGCATTGTGTCAGCTCTGGATGGCTGGTGGGGCTGAGCCAGGCTGGCCCAGGGCTCTGGGCTTGTGTCCTCCCTCCAGCCCTGCGAGAGTCCAGTCCCGTCGGCTGCTTTTTAGTTTCCCGCTCCCAGAATTGGAGCTGGCGGGAGGAGCCGGTTTGCACTGAGCCTCGTGAGGGGGCAGAGACCCAAGTCTGTGTATTCTGATGTCCCCCAGCGGGCTGGGGAGTTGTGACAGCCCTTCTCCGGGTCGGGGGCAGGAGACGATCCCACCTGACTGGCTAGTTCCAGAGCAAACAGGGATCAAGCAAACCCGGAGCTATTCCCTTGCAGCAGGGGATACGGAAATGATCAGGGAGATTCACGCCGGCAGTAACTCGCAAGCCTTTGGACACATGGTTACAGGTTCAATACCCCTCTGACCCGTACTCCCAGGCCAGGGAAACAGACGGGTGCCAAGCAATGAACGTGTCCGTGCTCAGCAGAGGCCCAAAGCCTTGGCAAGAGCCGGCCCCTGGTTTGCCAGGCTCACCGTGGGTATCAAATCGAGACCCTCAGAAGGTGATCGGGCTCCCAGGCCCTCCAGGGCTGGGTGAGCTGGGGACCCCAGTTACTGCAGGCAACGTACGAGGCCCCAACCCCAGCTCCGCCTGTGACTGGCTCTGCCCCTTCCTTCCAGATGGGGAGGATGAAAAGCCCCCGTTACCGCCACGCTCCGGCTCCACCAGCTTCTCCCCCGCCAGCCTCGGACCAGCCACGCAGGACGGGGTCATCGAGAGGTAAAGCACCTCTGTCTCCAGAACCACCAGGCGGGGCCCAGAGATCCCGCCACATGGGGGAGCTGCTGGTGCCCCTCACTCCTGACCCGCAGCCCCATCTCTGCCCCCCGTGCCCCTCGCTCCTGACCCGCAGCCCCATCTCTGCCCTCGGTGCCCCTCACTCCTGACCCGCAGCCCCATCTCTGCCCCCTTGCCCCTCGCTCCTGATCCACAAGCCTCCTTCCGCCCGCTCTGTCCTTGATCTCCCCGGAGCAGGGAGCCAGTGAGAGCCAAGATTTGGTGATTTTGTCCTCCACCCACCAGTCTGAGACCCATCCAGCCCATGCCTCGAGTTGCGTCCTGAGGCAGGCTGGCTTTCCTCACTCGGTTTCCGGACAGCTGGGCTAGTCCGATCCCCCGGCTGGGGAGGTGGCTCCGGGTGGAGCAGGCTGAAACAGCAAGAATCTGTCCCTTCTGATGCTCCCCAGATGCACCCCACTGCTTCCCCCCTTTGCACACCCACTCCCGCTTTGCTGCACTCGCACGCTTGGGCTGTCTTCCCCCCCGTGCATACACTTGGTAATGCACGTACACCTTTGCACACTTGGGCTCGCACGTGCACGATCACCCTCAATTACACCCATGCGCCTTTGCCCCCCGTCCGTTCCCACTCTCTCCCGGGTGCCCCCACCCTCGGAGTGATGCCCCCCTCCAGACGGGGGGGTCCCATGGAAGTGCTCTTTCCTGGCACCCACTGTCGCCGGAACTCAGCCCTCCCACAGGCGTTCGCTCTCATGCCCCAGTGGACAGCCCGGGATGCAGCGGGCGTTTCCGGTGCTCGGCGCCCGGTTGCTAACCTTTCTGCGCCCCCTGCAGTGCCACCAATGGCCTCAGCACGGTCTCCCACGAGTACCTGAAGGGCAGCTACACCCTGGACCTGGAGGCTGTCAAAGCCGGGGCCAGCAGCCTGCCCCATCTCAACAAGACCCTGGTCACCTCCTGCAAAAGGCTACACAGGTAAGAGCCTGGCCTGGAGCCTGGCGCCCCCTAGTGGCTCAGGCTGCATCTTGGCTGCTGATCCCCACCTCTCCAGGGCTCTCTGCCACGGGGTGCTGTGGCTGGGAGCTACCACTAGGAGGCAGGCAGGGCGCTGTGGGCATCTCCTTGCCCAACAGGGGCTGGCCCCATGGCGCCTGTTCCCTGCTGCATCTGCAGGCCCCTGGCCAGCATGGGACAGCAGCGACCCTCTGGGGTTCCTGCTGTAGTGGTGGGGTGTGAGGCAGGCCCTTGGGGGGATTGGAGGACGGGGGGCATAAGTTAAATCCCACTGCCAGTCCCGTCAGCGCTCGGCTGCAGGAGTTTCATTCTCCCCCTTAACCCTGCTCAGAATTCATCCTGGGGGGAGGGGGGTGTGAAGCTGCCGGCGTCGCTTCCCGGGCACCTGTCAAACCCGCGCCGGCCCCTGGTGCGGCTGGCTCTGACCTGCCACAGGCTGGGGCGGGGGTGCCAAGGGGTTTCCCCGTCCCGGGGCTGGCTGGCTGGCTGACGTCTGTCTGCACCTCTGCCTTGCAGCGAGGTGGACAAGGTCCTGTCCGGGCTGGAGATCCTCTCCAAGGTGTTCGACCAGCAGAGTTCACCTGTGGTCTCCCGGATCCTCCAGCAGGTAAGGTCAGGGGTGGGGAGTAGTGGCTGCGGGGTGCCGCAGGGGGCCAATACCCCACCCCTCCGGGACTTAGGACCCCTTCCCCAGCCTTATGTCTGCCCTGTGTCTTCTCAATTACTGCTGCCCCTCCCCTTGGGCCTTGCTGTGGGGGACCTGCCAGGTGAAGGCCCATCCTCCCCCCCGAGATCTGGGGGCTGGATCTTTCTTCCCCGTAGCAGCTGAGATAACCCGTGAGTTGGGGACCCACACGCGATAGAAGACTGAGCTGGGTGGGGTGGGGCGGGGCTGTGGGGCTCCACCGTCTGGCCATCAGAGCAGCTGCTGTGGGAGATGGTGTCCCCTCTCTGGCGTGCCCTGGGGGTGGGGGTCACAGCCTGCCCGCCATCCCTGACACTCTGGGTCTAGACTCGGTCGCCTTTCGCCCCTTACGATACCAGCTGGGGGACTGGCCACCTGGCGTCCCCTGCAGGCAGGTGCCCTGTGGTCCTGGATACGTTGGCCGGGCTCCACCCTCTCCTCCCAGCATGCTCTGTTCCGGCAGCTGGAGAACCTGGCTCGGAGGAGACAGTGTGCGTCCCCGGGGAGCGGCGGCGGGGGTGGACAACCCAGAGCGTCTTGCCCCTTTGCCGCCGTCCTGGCCGGCACCAGCTCGCTCTGAGGCCTCACCGAGTCTATTCCTGTTCCCCACTAGCCCCAAACACGTCAGTTCCCAGAGCCCGAGGGAAGGGAGCCAGGCGTGGGGCTGGGGGTCTGGGCACCTGAGTTCTGTCCTCTCTCTGCTGCTGATCGGTGACGTGGCCTGTGGCTCTGTGCCTCAGTTTCCCCATCTCCGAAAAAGGGACCCGGACCCTGATCCCCCATTTGGGACCCGCTCCCATGAAAGGGGACGCAGCGGCATTAAGTTGGGAGAACAAACTGAGCCCTCTTTATGGGGACAGGGGAGCCCCTCTGGCCTACGCCACCCCCGATCCCGT